GCAATCAGTGTTCCTTTGCCAGAGGCAGGGTAAAAGGGCCAGTCAGGCACAAATCACCAATTCAGCAGTTACCAGATCAGTGGCCCTTATCCACCCCACCAGTGAACAGTCAGGATGAGGTCTCGGTTTCTACTGCAGGGATAGATACCAGTCAGTTAGATGGATCAGCAGAACACATCAGGGATGGAGGCAATGATGCGCCAGATGCAAGAAAGTATGAAACTCGTGCAGCAAGATGCTGTCTGTCAAGCTGAATTCGCCAAACAGCAGGTTGTGATCATGGCCCAACAGGCAGAGCTAATCACCAGATTGCAACAGCAAAACGGAGCATCTGCTTCGCATCAAGCTCCCCCCCACCAGTAGATCCAATACCCGGGGAGACACCAAATGTCCAAGAAGGTACGGACATTCCGACAGGGCCGGCTCCGCCCCCAATCTTACCCCCGCTGTCTAAAGCACCAATCAACCCATCGGACTCTCCCTTTGAGTTCGAGGTAGACCATACAGCGTTGAAGTTGAGCAAGCTTGAAAAGTTGTTCAAGAAATCCCAGGGGGTAAAGTCCATCCCGGACATTGAGGACGGGTACACCGACGCAGCTGTGACACTGTCGGACAGGTTCAAGATGCCTCACATCGACCGTTTTGACGGGTCAGGAGATCCCTGGTCCACCTGAGTTTATTTTCAGATGTTCGGCGCCCGATGGGCTTGACAAGATTACAAAAGCTTTCCCTTTTTGGCAGGACCCTGTCGGGTATTGCGGCCATCTGGTACGCCAAATTGGAGGATTCAGTGAAACGAAGCTGGGAGGAGATGGCCGAGGCCTTCGTCGCACAATATTCATACAATACCCAAATCGAGATTACGACCCGTGATCTTGAGACGACGAGACAGGAGCCTAAGGAGAGCTTCTCAGAATTCGTGGCCCGCTGGAGGGCCAAAGCCTCAATGATGACCATTAGGCCAACGGATAAGGATCAAATACGGATGGTTGTGCGCAACCTCCAGCCCAAACTAATGCAGAAAATGATCGTGCTCCCCTTCCCTACCTTTTCATATTTGCATGAGATGGGAGTACAGATCGAGGATGCTATGAAGCAGGGCCTCATTGACCAGGAGAAGGAGCAGCCCAAGAGGGCGTTTACCCGCAGTTTGAATGCGACCACCAGTGGTGATGCAGCTGCAAGATCTTCTGAAGTGGGCATGGTCACCACCACCACCACGTCAAAAAAAGCTACCCCATTCACCGGTGCGTCCGGAAGTAGCTCACGGACGGCCAAATATCCACCCCGAGTCAAGAGGGTTTTCACTCCACTTTATATGCCTTTGTCAAAGGCTCTAGAGGCCTTAATCCGGAAAGGACATCTGAAACCATTGGAACAACGGCCTTTACCTGATCCTCTCTCTCCAAAGCATGACCATACTAGGTACTGTGCGTACCATCAACAAACCGGTCATGACACTGACAGTTGCTTTCGTCTGCGCCATGATGTACAAGATCTGTTTGACAACAAGGTCATCCTCGCGCCAGTCCAGCAAAGTATATTGGCACTCGACCAGTGAACCTGTGGGGGATAATGTGATGTGATCGAGGGATGAACCACCTGCGGGTGGCATTTAGTTTATTTTAGATATGGTGTATGGCACGCACTGTTTTGAGCATTTGCGAATGATGGTTTTTGTAGCTTCTGACTTGGGTGTTGAGTCAGTTCTGTGGTTTTGTTTTGAGTCTGTCTCTTTGTTTTGAGTCAGTCTTTTTGATTAAGGGTCTGTCTTGTGGTATCGAGTCAGTCCTGTTGTATAGAAGTCGGGTGATTCCGGGGGTGTTACTTTGGATATCACTATTTTGCTTTGTGTTTGTCCTTTTGTTTTCTTTTGAGTTTGTTTCTGCCAGGGAGCCAGTAATGCCAACAGATTTGAATGAACAGCAGTGGTTTTTCATGCTTTTGTGCTTGCTTCTGCCTTGTGCCAGAAACTTGAATGAAACGATAGTTCTCTTCACCTGCTTTTCTGTGCCTCGAACTCATTGCATTGACCTAAATTTTTCAAAACTTTTTCTAACACTGTGGTGAAAACAAAGAGGAAGGAATTCCTCGGCTTTTGCAAAAATTTAATCCATTGAGAGAAAGAGAGGCATGCTAGGCCCTTAACGAATGAGATCATGCTTGTTAATGTGAGTACTGAGAAGGATCCTGGCTTGATCCAGATTGGCTCCGCACTGTCTTCAGCGCGAGCGATTTGTCGCTTTCTTAAAAGATTTCAAAAAATGTTTTGCGCGATCCTGCGAAGACCTGTGTGGAATCGCTCTTGAGATTGTGCAGCCTAGGATCGCTCTCAGCCTCAAGACTC